TGGGTAGTTGAAAAATTTAATAAACAAACAAACAAACAAAATGGGTTGTACTGTCATGATATGTATTCTATGACATGGGTACAGGATGCTTCCACATAAGGGTGGTGTTGGCATCATGACTTCCCTGCTCATTGGAATGTAGTCTCAGTTTGCTGCAGACTCCCATGATTCCAGTGAACCTCCTCCACCTTTAAAATGAAAAGGAATGGGCCTGGACTCTTGGGACGGTGGCCACGACCACGTGATCAAAGATCCACCCAGGGTGGGACTTTGATCACGTGCCTGTGGCCACCATCTTGACTTTTTTCACAACCCCTCTGCAGACACTCTTGGAGAGACTGAAAAGGAAACGACAAGTGCAGCAATGGGGAACTGGCTTGCAAAAGCCCTCCGCAATTTCTGCCATCGTTAGTAAGATACTGTATGCGTGATATTGAGCAGACCTTTGCTGCAAGTGAGATCATGAATTGTAAAAATACGACGATACAGTGAAGCATCTCCATTTGCTTACTTTTGTTAGCCATTTCCTTAATCTCTTTCAGAACTTCCGACTCCATGATAGGATTGTTACAGATGTTTACCCAGCTGTCAGATATACCCCTCTGTCCAGCAAGCGCCGTTAGTTTCTTCTGATTTGGAACCACAAAGCTGATAACATAAGACTGGTTGCTAGATTGAAACACAAGAAAACGCTATTTGGATTTAGGTAATACTTCACTGGGGAAAGTGCTTCAGGCTGAAAATTAACTAACCTGGCCTTTCTCAACTGGGGCTGCATGACAAATTGTGACTCAAAAAAAAAACACTTTCGAACTTCAAGTGCCATGCAATGCTAGCTGTAGATATAACTTTTATGCAGAGATTCCTTGAGACTTGAAAATTATTTCAAGGGTACCTCCAGAATTTTTTTTAAAAAATGAGAAAATCTGCTGTCACCATACTGTATATCTAGAGCATAAGACCATAAGAGTGCGCTGCTGGATGGGACCTCTGACCCATTGAGTCCAGCAGTCTGTTCTCACAGTGGCCAACCAACTGCCCAAGGAAGCCCACTGGTCTCCCAGCAGATGGCCTTCAGAAGCTGATCCCCAGGACTTCCATGAACCCTTTTTTGAAGCCAGCCAAGCTGGTAGCCAGCACCACATCTCTACGGTTACTAATCAGTCTATTTGTAATGTATCGTGGCATTACTTTCACAGTCTGCCCAGAAAGACCTTTGCTGTGCAAGCAGAAATATATATAAGAAAATATGATACCAGATGTTGAATACAAATTATAGAAAAATGCTCCTTGTTGTTCGCTATTCTATTTCTACATAAAGGCTAAACGGTGAGAAGAAATCAGAAGAATACTTCTGCACTACAGTGTGTGTGAATATTTAGATACGATCTAGAATGAACGCAGCCACATGTACATGTATCTGTGACCCTCAAAGGGTTTCCGAATGAAATGCCAAGCATCTTTTATTGTTGCTGGATTACTGAGATATGGAGTTTGGCACCATCTGAAGGGTGGCCAGCTCCCTCACTCAAGATATAGGGCAACCTTCTTTAGGGAGCAGCATGATTGATTCTTGGGTGCTACAGGGTTACCTAGTGCTTCCCAATCTCAGCAACTTTAAGATGTGTGGACTTCAATTCTCAGAATTCCCCAGCTGCTGAGACTAGGAAGCACTGGATTATATGTATGACGCTGCTGGAAAGGGCCTACCTTATTCCAGCAGTTTGGGAGTCATGCGAGCAAAGGTGTTGGAAAGTGGAACACGAGGGTCTTACTTTTCAACTTCAGGCAAACTTTACTAAAGTGCTTCTTCAATGTAAGTTGGTGTTTAAAAATCCCGCAAAATTGTATGAAAGATCACGTAGCTGTAAACTCACCTTTTGGCATATGCACAGATATTGTCAATAAGGGGACAGTTTTTCAGGGCTGCCTCAACTTTGCCAAGGGACACATATTCCCCTGCTTGCAACTTCACCAAGTCTTTTTTACGATCTGGGGAAACAATCAAGCAAAATTGGGGTTTGAGGTCAAAGAAGAATGCTCAGCGTTCACCTGACATTCTAAAATACAGACATAACAATGCCAGTTCTCATGCAAAGCCAGTTGTTAAGGAAACATCTTTTTGCAACTGCTAGAACCAAATTTTAAAATGTGGTTACAAAAATTGAAGGCAGTTACAAAAACTTCGGATAAGAGAACTGTTTTATATTGCAGTTAAGATTATAATTTGTCCCATGCTTGGAAGAGCTTCCTAATAAAAACAGGGACAGGTTTCTTTGGGAGCAAAACAAAGTATTGTAACCACCTATGATTTGCAGGCAACCATCAGAATGAAATTCTCCAATGTCTCCAGTACAAAACCACCGCTGGCCATTTTTATCGATGATGAAATCTTCGGCTGTCTTCTCCTCATTTCTGAAGTATCCCATAGAGACGTTGGGCCCTCCAATTATAATCTCTCCCCTAGGGTTTGGCAAGTCTCTTGTCGTATAGCCTCCTGAAAAAGGCAGAAAGAGTTGGTGGCTACAGCAATTCTTGAGAATCAAATCAAAATGGTCACTGAGAACGAATGGCACGATTGTGCTGATTAATTATGCTAAGCCACCAAATTCACATGGGCAGTAAAATGTTACAATGTATTAGGCCCAACTACGATCACAAACTTCTTGTACCAAAAAAACTGTTTGAATCTAGAATATAAATAGCTATGTATAGGACGCAACGTATTCAAGTTGACTCAGAGGTAAATCTCACTAAATTTAGTGGGCTTTATTCCCAGTCAAGTGAATACAGGATTCACGCTTCTCTCTTAAACTTATGCAATTTATTAGGAAATGGAAACCTGACAGATCAGATTAACCAATACAAGTTAAATGTATCTACAGCAATTGGCCTCTTCAGCCAAGAGATCTGAAAAGTTGGCTGGTGCTGCAGCCTTGATAATTCTCTGTCCGGGAACTCACTGGATGTGATTCCTCCCACTAACACACCGTGAGGGGAGATCCTGGACAGAAAATAAACAGGTTTCCCAGATGGGGTTTTCTTTCCTCCACCACAAAGAGAAATGGCCAGAGGTAGGTCAAAAGTCTTCTTGAGCAAAACCTAGGGCTGGAGTCATTTTCAAACAGGCATACATTTATCTAATTTTTCAAGTGCGTTATACACATCCATATTCCAGGCACGGAAACAGCTGGGAGTCTATTAAAATGATGGGGTCTTCTCACCTTCTTGCCAATCTCTGAGTTTAATCTCGCAACAGATGAGAGGAGCTCCGACTCTTCCAGTGCTGTAGTCAGTTACTAGACAGAAAATATCAGGAAATAAGGAGTGAGATGGGAACCAAACACTTTTAGTTCTTTTAATTTAATTCCAGACTAGGTTAAAGACCTGCCAGCAGCACGATAGGCTGTTTATGAAGGAATCCACGCACAGCGCCTTTACAGGGGAAGAAGACCCTGGCCACAAACCCTTACCTTCAGTAATTGTGCCTGCTCCACAGGTTTCAGTCAGGCCATAGCCCTGGCCAACAGGGCAGCAGAAGCAGATATTCATGAATCTTTGTGTCTGAGGTGAGAGAGGGGCTCCTCCGGAAAGCATCATACGTACATTCCCTCCTAGTAGGGCCTTCACCTTTTTAAACAGCAGGCTTAAAGGAAAAGAATCCCACATTAACACAATCAAAGTACATGCTAAGAGAACTTATAAACAGCTGATATGTAAATCTCTTATGACCTCCTCCCTGACATACCTATTAATCCACCTGGTCTGGATTAAGCCCAATGTTACAGATTTGACTGGCTTTCTGCTTTGTTCAGAAATGAACTGGAACCAGATTACAATGTGTGGGTTCCAGATTCAGTTGACCTTGCAATAGATCCATTGAAATTGGGGGATTCAATCACTGGGCCCAAGAAGAATGATAGATATGGCTATCCGTCAGATCAGAGAAAGCAAGTCTACTTCAAATCTGACTGGGTACAAGTCAGGGTGATTTGAACATATTCATTCAAGGTTCCCTGGAAGACCAGGAAACTCTTACAGCATAAAATATTTTACATTCACCCAAGGGTTTTGTTGAGCAGCCAGATTCAAAGACACTTGTCAGCTGATAAACCTGGGGCCCTCCAGATAACCTGGACTGCAACTTTCAGAACCCTCACATGGCATGGTATTTGACCAGATGGCCAGGAATTCTGGGAGATGGTGCCCAATATATTCAACAGTCAGCAGGCTGGCAAAGGTTACCTAATCTAAATGATTTCATTGCAGTAATCTAAAAAGCAGTTCAATAACCCTCACTTAAGCACCATTGACTTCCATGATGAATGAATGCACACCTGAAGGGAAGGTTATGATTTAGACAAAGAGCTGGTCCAACCTGGTTGAACCAAAGCAGGAGTTTTTGCACTTTATTGAATCAAAGCAGTGGTTGAACCAAACTTTGGCTGAATCAAAACAGTGGTTTTTTTTTTACTCAATTGTAATACCCAAATTATGTCTATAACAAATATTGAACAGACATTAATTGTACTTACAAGTTACACAGAGGTGCATCATAACCTCTTTTTATTTGTTCCAATTTATAGTCATATCCTATCTTGAACAATGTTTTCTGGAAATAGTTCATCTCCTGAACTTTGCTCATAACATTCTTATAAATTCGATCCATGATTTCCTACAAAGGACAATTTAAAGAGAAGGCAACAGCTGAGAAACATTTGATTCCTCAGCTGGTTTATACCAGCCCACCCCAGCTGAGTAAGGATAACAGGAAGTTTCAAACTATTTCCTTAGTTGTATAACCCTTAATGTGTAATCAGCCTAATCTATTAGCGGTCGCTCTTAGCTGGGGGTTATTTATGTGGACGCTCAGTGGAAAAATTGAGCTCCCTCTCCTTCTGAGCTATTTCAACAAGTAGCTGCCAGAATAAAAAATAAAACCTGTGGCCATATTTACTCAGAGGACTGAAGATCTGACGTTACTTGCATCTTATGCATAAGTTACATACAGACATGGATTATGTATGAATGATTATAATGTAATATGGTCATCCTTTATTGAAACTGTTGCATAAAACTTTACATACATTTATGAGAAGCGCTTGTTAATTAAGCAAATAAAAGTTATTTTAGAAAATGATTGTGTCTTTTCTTTTTTTTCCATCGTTTGAGCAAATGGGTAACAGGAAACTATTGTATGGGTCAGAAGTCTGATAAAACTGAGATGTTCAGAGATGTTCTAAAGGTCTGTTGCCTTGCCAAATGATATGCTAGTTTCCCCCTCCCCCCCCCAAAATTAAAGCTTTTGTGGCCAATTGCATTATGCCTAACTATTGGCTGCACTTAATAGGATTTGAGGAGGGAAGGGGTGCAAAAAGGAAGACAGGTTTCCAAAATGTGTTTTACGAAACATGAGCACTGACAGCTCTATTTAATGTAAACAAATGTGCACAGCAAAGCTGTAGATCCATGTACATTTGCACCTGGTTCTACAACAGTCAAGATGTATGTTTCTTTTATTACTCAGGGGTCTAAGATTGGTGATCTGTATAAACCAATTGGGAAAAATAAGTTACTGTACTTTTTAAAGTTTAAAATTTAACATTTAAGCCCAAGATTTTTTTTTATAAAGTTTCAGCATGAAGTACACAACATTTCACAAGCATCCCATCCCTGTTGATACTTACAGGCACAGCTGCCATCAAAGTGGGCTTCAGAACAGTACAGTCTCCTTTGCTTCCCTTTTTAATTTTGCTTGACTGTAAGAGGGGAAGAAAGGGAGAACCCAAGTTTAAAATCAATGATTTTCACAAAAGAATAGAACTATGGAAAAGTACTTGGCGCTGTTGAACTTTGCAAATGGAAATAATAAACAAAGAAATGACATTTAGAGCACATATGCCATTTCACTGCTTGAGGGTCAAAGAGGTGATCAGATTCTAAAGCTGATGAGAAAATGGAAAACCTGCGATCAAGAAAGCTAGAAACGCTCCAGGAGTCCATTTTTAAGATGTTCTTATCTGTGCGTGTCACTCTGGCTCAACTTATTGTAGTGGTGAGCCTACAACTACCTCTCGCTATCCAGCGTTTGACATTAATTAAAAGCATTTTCTCCCAAACAACCTACAATCCGTTGGCTTACCTGGTCCGACAGGGTGAGCGGAGAGGAATATCCAATCCTGCAGCCATAAGTAATACAGGAAATTTCTGCTGTCAGTTCTAACACATGAGCCAAAGGCAAGTAGCCAATGTACGTGTCATTGGGTCTAAGGGAAAAATATATATTGCTTCAACATGGCAATCAGGATATCTCGGTCGAAATAAGCATGTAACATGGTTTGGGTTTTTCTTTCTTACCGGGGACAACTTGAATCCTTGTGGTCTAATGGATATTCAGGCTGATAAAACATCATCTCTGACTTATAGAGTTAAAAGGCAGCTCCAGCCAAATGGGGTGACCTCCAGAGGTAGGGATCTCAACTTGCCCATGTTAGCTAGAGAATTCTGGGAGTTGAAGTCCACACAGGTGGGGAACTCCTGGACTGGAGAAGCCTGCTTTAATGGATCTTACACCTGTTGCTTCTAGTCGCTAGGGTTGTTACAGAAATGTTAGCTTCTAAACACAATTTCTGTTCCAATTTATGTAGTTCAAGCAGAAATAGGTTTCTATTTCAAGCCTGGAGTGGGGACCTCCTGTCTGTAGAATGGCCTCTCTAGAGAGGTTTGTTCAGTGCTTATCCTGCAGTCTTTTTGTCTCCCAGATATTTTAGAAACCGTTTTGAATGATATTTTGATGTGTTAAAAGCCCACATTATTCTGTTACCATTCATTATCATCCCTACTGCTCATTTTATCTTGTGTTGAGTTCTGAAACTTCTGTACATTGTACAAAATAGTTTAAAGGTCAGTGCCTAAAGAGTTGAGGTTGGTAGGCAGTCTAGAAATAAATTATGCGCGCGCACACACACAAATTCACTCCAGCCTCCAAGTTCTAGCAGTCAAGAGCGTCAGTGCTTCTTCTGCTTGACTTTTGGGCAGCTAATGGACCTATCAAAACTGAAAGGCCACCATGGATTTGCCTGAATAAAATAAAAGAAGTACAACTTTGAAGTGTCTCTTCCACTCCTTGAGTAGTATAACTGCATATTTTTGCTTCACTTGCAGCAGTAGAAACACAGGAGCATTAATCTTTGCCCCTATAAAGATTAACCCTACTGTTGTTTCTATTGCTCAAGGAGTGGAAAAAGATCTCCTTGAGAAGCAAATTAGCAAGAGGAAATAAGCAATAATGTTTCCAAAACAGGGGAACCATGTTATCTCTTTGAGATAAATATATTTATTCCTAGTATTGATTACTAATCTGTTTAACTCTTATAGTCCAATGTTTAAGGTTCAAGTCATTAAGTCCTATACGTGCTGAGAATGTTCTTCATACTATGAATGAGCACAATCAAGTTCCTTGCATGGGCTGGACAGGATGTGAAAGCAGTGTGTGCATAAGGGAGAAAGAGCCAGGCGGTAACAGGGGTCAACACTAATGCTGCCCTATCGCAACTACTATCATGAGGCCTTAATCCAGCAATAAGTAACCCTTCTAGTGCCAGATGCCATTGTGTCCCAACCACAATTCCAATCCCACTCCCCCCAAATCCCAAAATTATGCATCATGGGCAAAAATCTCACAAGGCTTGGCAATTACAATTACAATTACAATTAAGATCTTGCGTGGAACACCAAGTTTGTGACATTACTACACCAAACCAGACCAAATAAACATGGAGGGGTGGGCTGCTGGCATTACGATAGGTCCAACAGGTACCTGGGAATATGGCAATTCCATCCCTGATTTAACCCCTTAAGATGAATTGCTGTCATTGCCAAGAATCAAGGAAGGATCCCAAAGGATAGGGCCAGCTCAATCCCTACCATCTTCTTTGCATCTTCATTCTGTTTGTCAAACATTCTGCTTACCAGTCTCCAACCCTCATCAGTAGCTGGAGCAGGTAGAACACATATTGGAAGATCTACCAGGGAATGGAAGGTCTTGGGTTTCCATCTGGTAGACTATGACCTGCTAAATTCTTTCTATGTTTAGCCCACCCGCCCCATTAGGGGAAAGCAGAACGGAATGCATGTCTTTAATGTCAGGAATCTCTTACCCCAGGCCAGGTATTCGCTCACACTGTCCAGTCATTCCAGCTATCAAGTTTTTATGTACCATCATGACCCCTTTTGGCCTCCCTGTAGAGCCACTGGTATACATTACCAGGGCCATGTCTGTAGGACCAGGACGGCATGGAGCGATGCTTACTAGACAAAGACAAGACGACAAAAAAAGTTAGACTACAATACTGAGAAAAAAGAAAATAAAACCGAGACTGAAACTAAAACTAAAACTAAGAAAATAAAATGTTTTATACTGTGGAAAAAAACAAACAGGTAACTGAAAGTGCACAAGATTTGCAAATCAAGCAGGGCCATGCCTTATTGTCTACACTCCTCTAAAAGTGCTGAAACTGGGACAAGGTTCTGATCGTTTTTGAGGAAGGAAGTGGTGGTGGGCCTGGCTGTTCAAGGCAGCGAAGCGATGTCACGTGATCATGACACCATTATGCAGACTGCATCATTCGGGGATCAGGATGCACACGGCATCATTGTGGCTTGTACTGGACACCAACAGCGATGGCGGTCTGGGGGGAGTAGCTGCTGCCTGTCCGTTTAGGACTGGTGGAGAAAAATTCTTAAGATTCTCTCACGAGAGTTTCTCAACTATTAAAAGACCTCTAATGGTGAAAGCCAAGGATTATTTTTTTAATTTAAGCTCTATCTGGCATTTTTACTTCTGGTGCTAGAGCAAATGAGAAGCTCCAGGTCATGAGTAGTGGTGGTGATGCGCCTTGTAAGAATCCTCTGACTCCAGCAAGTCTCAAAACACAACGATTACGCATACCCCATGGCACTGCCTTATGCACAGTTCAGGCTGCGGATAAGATCTCCCTCTTGCTCATCAGCAGGCTAGCAGCCACACTAGACTGCTTTTCTCTACAGGGATTTGAGACGCAATTTGAAAAGCCACAAGCTACTCGTTCTGTGGGTGGTTGTGGCAGGGAAGAGGACCAAGCCCTTCTACTGGTGCGGCTTCCTCAGAAATGTCGAGAGAAGCAGACTATTATGAAGCAAGAGCAACCGGTCATGAAGGTTCTCCTATCCTGAGGGAAAAAGTGTGTATTCTTATACAGAATTAAACACTAAATTGTTCAAATGATCTAGAATGTTGCTTATTATATAGGAAAAAAAACATAACACCATTGTAGTAAAGGGTTTCAGCTGGTCTACTTACAGTTTTCTGGTTTCGCTCCAAGTTCCTCCACTGCTTGCATGTTATAAATCTCCAGCCCTTTTGGATAGTCTGATTTATTGATAGTCTTGTTATCCACATAAATGATGTGTTTGAGGCAGGGGATTTCTGACAGTACATTCTGGCAAACAAAAATAGTTGAAAGTTGACTGTATAAACCAGAACAAAAGTTTGCAATACATGGCATGTGTTTGCATTTACTTCTCATGATTGTGAAAGTTCATTTTATAACAACATTTTAATTATATTCCTCCTATCTCTGATTATTCAACAACCATCAAAAATGGGGAGAAAAAACGTATTTATAAGTTTCTGTTAGAGCTACAGCATTTCCAGGGGAAAGAAGTCTCATTTAAAGTAAAGTGGCTGGTTTTCAAAGTTTGGTACAGAAATTATAGCTGTGGGGCAAAATATTTGCCTGCTTTGATTAATTCTGGACAATTTTCAGATTGTCCAGGCTACGACAACACATATTTTACAGTTTCATTGTAAAATACCACTGACTACAGCTTTCCACTATTCTCAAATATTCAGCCTAATAAACATTAGAGTGCTAATAATCTTTAGGCAATACTGTATAAATACCACTGTATCAAAATAATATAATGTATTATGTATGTTTCACAACAACATGATAAAAATATTTTTAAAAAATTCAGCCTAATGTTGGAATTAATTTCCTTACACAAAAGTTATGTTAGGCCCCACTGATATATCCCAAGATCTTTTAGCAAGCCAGCTTCAATCTTAGCATTAATTAATTCATTTTACTATCATGCTTACAAAAAGAAGATTTACCTTAAGTTTGCCTTCCAAAAGATCTAAGCTAGTGATTAGAAACGATGCTTCAGATTCATTTAATCCATAGGTTACCGCCTCTTCTCCAAGGGTTGCGTATAATGTAACAACTATTTAAAAGGCAAAAAATTGGTAAGTAGCTGAATAGTTAAACTCAGATGAAGCCATAAATATTCCATGCTAATTTTATGTTTCATGCATACCAGCAATTTTAAGATGAACAACAAGAACCTCAAATTAGGAGAAGAAGGTAGGATGTATATGAAATACTCAAATAAAAAAAAAAGTATGCAAATACTCCATTATGGCTGTTATTTAAAGGCACGAAAACTTATGCCCTAATAAATTCACTGGTCTTAAACAAATCAGATTATTTTATCTTGTATAGATTTGAACTGTATGTATAAATGTCACAGCTAAGTCAACGCAGGCACCAGTTTCTAAGATAACTCTGTACTGCATGACAACATTACACCGAGGGCAAACATCATGCAGGGGTGGTGAAACATTATAGGAAGAGAGGACTATGGCCCTGGTTGATGTTTGGGGAATACTGATACCCACGAGGAAAGTTGTATCGGAAGCAGGCTTGGGCGGCGATAAACCATTCGGCTCGAGTCTCACAGAATACAGCAACGGTGCTTTTGGGCTTCAGTCCAAGTGCCACTAACCCGCTCCCAAAGTGGTTCACTTTCTGATTGGTTTCCTCATAGTTCAGCCATCTATAGTTTCCTAGGATTAACTGGTCAAGATTAAACATTTGATCAGTTAGCATTAACGTAAGGAGAGCAAAACAACCGGACTTAAACACTAAACAATTTAACCATTGCTGATACCAAAAACGGAACACACAAGAAATGCAACTTATATTGGATCAATTCTGATTATTGTTTAAGAAATTGTTCATGCCACTCTACGGATCTCCCTGTCCTGTTCCACCCAGTTTGTTCCCTTAAAACCCTTATCCTATCACGGCCCATTTCCAACTTATAGGACAACTGTGGCCGAAAAACAGCTAGCACTCGAACGCATTTCTTCCGACAGAAGTAGGCATTTTATACGACCCAAAGCAATGGGTGATTAAAAGAGTTGCTTCTGCATCAGCACTGCAAAGGTACAATGAAAGGGCAATCTGAAATCAACATTTTAATGACTGCCACTGTGAAAGAAACAGAAGAGTGTCTGAGAGGAAATTGTACAAATGAACAATAGCACGTCTCTTTCGGAACACATTTTAGCTTTCTATCTTTTCACCCCTCCCGAAAATCCTTTGGAAGGATCCTTACCTTTTTAAACACTTTTCCATTCGGTTGCATTTCATTCTCTTCACTTAGGACCTCTCTTGTTCCAAGACAATCTTTCTTCCCGAACTTTGTTACGGCAAGGTCAAACAACTTGTCCAGTGTGTCTGCCCCAGGAAAGTCTATGGTGGCTAACGACTCCAGGTGCGAAATGGATCGGTAGGGGCTTCCGGGGCTGTCAGAGATGGGCTTAGCTTTTAAACGCTTTGCCATAGCTTTTTTCTTCTTCACATTTGTAAGAAAATACCATGGTATGAATACAAGGGCACTGTACACATTTATCAAAAAGTACAGGGGGAACCACAGAATGGTCCACAGTCTTAGTTTAAGATTCATACTGGACAGCTTTCTTTTTCTTTTAAATCTGCCTCCTGTCCTTTTGGGAGTCCAAGTTTTCTTAAGTTTTCTCAGGGAAGAAGAGGAAGCAGCAGCAGCAGCACGCAAAAGCAAAACGAAGATTTTAGGTGGCTGAGGTTTAGAGGAATCACTGAAAGGTTAGAAACATCTGGCAGTCAGCAATAGCAGCAGCAGCAAATTATTTGAAGATCACAGATAATCAGAGAGCAGGAGAAAAATAGTAATAATTTGTTAGCTTCGAGTCTTTTATTGGTTTCATTTCAACATGCAGCTAGACCCTGGACATCGAAGGAGCTGGTCTGACATTTTTAAACGGCGTCATGGGTTTTAAATCACAGCATTGGAAGGAAGTATATTTGTTCAATGGCTCTTTGCCCCACTGCAAATGTTTACAAGAATTGGGTAAATATTTGCTTTTAATCCAATTTAGCAAGTATTGCTTCATTACGGTCAAAAGTCCATAATTTTTCCCAAAAATGTGGTAGGGCTAAGAAAGATTTAGTAAAGCTGTTTACAATTTGGACAAACACTTTTCCTTATTTATTGGACTGTTTATTTGCAGGATTTTTGTTATGCTAAGGAATCTATGTAATTTATCATATAAATTCTTTAGAAAGCTAACTTCAGCAGACTCTCCCTTTTTTTTTTTAATTATACCCTTTCAAGCATATGTTCAAGCCAGCTCAACGCTATAATGTAAAAACTACTCAAGGTGGTAAAAACGATCATTAGTAACTAAATAAAAGAGGCTAAGGGCAGATAGAATTCTCTTATACTTACAACCAGAAAGTTTAAAGTTAATAATTCTAGAGATCAAATGCAAAGTGGAAGAGAAAACATTTAAGGCAGGAAGAGAAAACCTTCAGCATGGAAACAAGACAGGGGCTGGATTTAAAGTAAGTGACTTGGATTAGGAGCATTGGAATCAATGTCAAAAGTTCATAATTTCAATAAGACCTATGTTCAGTCTCCTGCCAATGATCAATGTATTTCATGTTGCCAATATTCAAAAGAGGAAGGCCTCTGGAAAAAGGACATGTTTTCTATAACTCTTCCCTAAACTGGACCAATGGAC